GTGCGTGCTGCCTTTGCCGTGAGTGCTATTAGGATATTGGAGTTTTGTCCTTTTCCCTTTGGTGATTCTAACCTTTACATGCTGCGTTTGCCGTGATTATTATTGGGAGGAAGGAAGCAGGAAAAATTTGTAGTGTCTGGTTGCTGTGCAGTTGTGTCGTGTATTGTGCTGCTGCGAGTGTGTGATCCCGTGGTAATTGTTGTACTCTAGCAATTGCTAGTTGTGCCGAGTAGTGATTTGTCGCTGCTGTTGATAAAAAAAAAGAAAAAAAAAAAGGAATTTGGTGTTGCTTTGCTGTACTGATTGCAGCAATTGTGCATTGAGTAACTGTATTTCGATAATTTCTGTTACATTTAGTTTGGGCCTTTGTTTTTTTGTGCCGCGTGGTTATTGTTTGTGGTTTTGCTGCTACCTTGGATTGCAGCATATTGAGTTTGTTGTTTTTTTTTTACCGTGAGGTGTAGAGTGTTGTCACATAGTGCAACCTTTGTATTGCACCACCTATAATCAAGATTGTATCCTTTAGTGTTATCGTACCTTCTTGTGCAATCGTGTTATTACAATGGTGAATACAGGTTGGATTTTGGATTTCGGTGCAACGAATCATATGACGTATGATAAGACTTTGTTTCAATCTATGACCCAACCTCATAGAACGTGTGTGGCAACCGCCAATGGTACTACTGCTGCTGTTGTTAGAGCGGGAACAATGTCTCTTACACCCTCTCTTACCTTTTGCTTGCTTCAGGATAGTCAGACAAAAGAGATCATTGGGCGTGGCACTAAGAGAGAGGAGTTATATTATGTGGATGACGTCGTTCCTGGCCGAGCTAATGCAGTTCGAGCATCCCGTACCAATAATTTACAAGCAGTTTGGTTATTGCATTGTTGGTTAGGACATGCTTCATTTGGTTATTTGAGGCGTATGTTGCCTAGTTTATTTCATAAAATAAAAGAATCAGACTTACATTGTGAGATATGTATTCTTGCGAAGAGTCATCGCGTTTCGTTTCCTCCTAGTATGAATAAAAGATTGTTTCCTTTTGAACTTGTGCACTCTGATGTTTGGGGTCACTCTCCTGTTAGTACTCTGTCTGGAATTAAATGGTTTGTTACCTTCGTTGATGATTGCACTCGTATAACTTGGATTTATGTGATGAAGAATAAAAGTGATGTGGGTATGGTGTTTCGATCATTCTCTCAAATGGTTGCAACACAATATTTCTCTGTTATTAAGGTTCTCTGCTTTGATAATGGAGGTGAGTATATTGGTTCCGAGTTGTCCAGTTTTCTTCGGGATCAAGGAATTCTACATGAGACTACTTGTCCTCATACCCCACAACAAAATGGGGTTGCTGAAAGAAAAAACCGTCATATCCTGGAAATTGCCCGTGCCTTGCTCATTGGTGCATCTGTACCTAAACGATTCTAGCCTGAAGCTGTCACTTATGCCGTGTATGTGATTAATCGTATGCCATCCTGGGTTGTGGATTTTCGTACACCTTTCCAAGTATTGACAGAGTTTGTTCCAGTAGTGTCAACTAATACTCTTTCTCCTCGTGTATTTGGGTGTGTAGCCTATATTCATATTCACAAGATTCATCGTAGTAAGCTCGATCCATGTGCTCACCAGTGTGTTTTTCTGGGATTTTCTCCTCAACAAAAAGGGTATAAGTGCTACCACCCTGAAACTCGTCATATGTATGTAACTATGGATGTTACCTTTTCCGAATCTGGGTTCTTTTATGCTTCGACTCCATCACCTTCTGATCACTCGGGGGAGAATATGAGTGGTGATCTTGGGTGGTTGGAAATATGTAGCTCATGGGGAGTATTTATTGACAAAAAAGGTTGTGAAAGCTCTCGGCAAGACACTGCTGAGAATAGAGACAGTGAATCTCGGCAAGACACTGTCGAGAATGTGAGTATCATTCAGCCAAGTAGCACCGAACCAGTTGAGTCTTCTCGGCAATGTGCTACCGAGTGTGATGTAGAGTGTCAGCAGGAAGTTGCCGAATCAATTTCACCGCTCCAGCAACCATTAGCTACTGAACCCACAACCCCCTCTCTCTCAAGCTCAATAGTGCCACCCAATATGCATTCTCTGAATATTCCTGAGGTAAGTACTACAGATGCTCATGTAACTAATCCAGATAATGTTATGAGTACATATAAGTTGCCGCCAAGGTAAAATCGTGGTGTTCCTCCTGACAGGTTTTCTTCCTGAAGGAAAAGTGAAGTATCCAATAGCTAATTATGTGTCATGCTCAAACCTTGCACCAGAACGTCAAGCTTGGGTAAACAATGTGGAAGCAATCCAAGCACTAACCCGAGTTGAGGAGGCCTTGAAGGATCCTAAATGGGCTGCTACGATGGATGAGGAAATGATGGCACTACATAAGAATGATACATGAGAGGTAACTGAGCTACCTAAAGGGAAGAAACCAGTTGGGTGTAAATGGGTCTTTACGATCAAATACAAGGCAGACGGATCGGTAGACAAGTATAAAGCAAGGTTAGTAGCAAAATGCTATTCTCAAACTTATGGTGTTGATTATCATGAGACTTTTTCTCCAGTAGCGAAGATGAATACAATACGAGTTCTGATTTATTTAGCTGCAAATTTGAATTGGCCACTAAAACAGTTTGATGTGAAAAATGCTTTTCTTCATGGGCACTTGGAAGAAGAGGTATATATGGATTTTCCTCCAGGGTACAATGCCGGAGGGAAAACCGGAGTATGTAGGTTGCGAAAGTCACTCTACGGACTTAAGCAATCTCCTCGTGCGTGGTTTGGTAGATTTACCCAAGTTATGAGGCGGATTGGGTATTATCAAAGTCACTCGGATCATACATTATTTGTGAAACGGGAAAATGGTAAAGTGACAGCCTTAATTATTTATGTGGATGACATGATAATAACAGGTGATGATTCGGAAGAGATGATGAAGCTAGAACAAAACCTTGCCCCCGAGTTCGAGATGAAGAATTTGGGAGATTTGAAATATTTTCTTGGCGTGGAAGTTGCTCGGTCATCTAGAGGTATTTTCTTGTCTCAACGTAAATATGTTCTCGATTTATTAAAGGAAACAGGAATGCTGGGATGTAAGCATGTGGACACTCCTATCGTAGAGAAACATTATTTGGGGATTTATCCAGATCAAGAACCGATTGACAGAGGTAGATATCAAAGACTAGTGGGGAGGCTAATTTATCTTTCTCACACTCGTCCAGATATTGCCTATGTTGTAAGTGTGGTTAGTCAGTTTATGCAGTCACCAAGTGTGGATCATATGGCGGCAGTAATGAAAATCTTGGCATATTTGAAATCTGCCCCTGGTAAAGGAATTTTGTATGAATGTCATGGACATATGAGGATTGAGGGATTTACTGATGCTGATTAGGCAGATGATGTGACTGATAGATGGTCTACATCTGGGTATTTTACTTTTGTTGGAGGTAATTTGGTTACGTGGCGAAGCAAGAAGCAAAATGTGGTATCACGGTCTTCTGCCGAAGCCGAGTATAGGGGTATGGCACATGGTGTGTGTGAGATTCTTTGGCTACGAAAGTTACTTTGGAGTCTTGGTTTTAAGCAGAATGAGGCAATGAAGTTGTATTGTGATAATAAGTCCACCAGGGATATAGCCGAGAATCCAGTACAACATGATAGGACTAAGCATGTTGAGGTTGATAGACATTTTATCAAAGAAAAGCTGGAGAAAAAGATTATGTCAATACCGTTTGTGAACTCAGAAGAACAACTTGCAGATATCCTTACCCATGCCATGTGTAGTAGAAGATTTGGTAATTCACTTGTCAAGTTGGGCATGAGTAATATCTATGCTCCAACTTGAGGGGGAGTATTGGAATAAGTCAATATTTAGAAGAAAATGAATGTAAATATCTTGTAATTATTAGAGTCATGTTTTAGGAAGGATATTGTGTCATTTACTTTGTTTCCTTTTGTAATAAAGATTGTATGTACTATTTATTCAGAATATGCAATACATGAAAATTAAGCCGTAAAATTCTATTCTTATAATTTTGCATATTGCCAATTGATTTTATAGTGGAACTTCAACTTTCTTCAAGTGATCACAACATGAGCTTAGAAAATCACCAAAAACCGCCTTCTCGTGTGGAGGCTTTATCCACTTTCATATGGAGCCGCTTTGTGGCTGCCACTCAGGTGAAGTCAGGCATTGCACCGAAGAGGCTCTACTCCATTGTTCATGGAGTAAACCTTCGTACGATGATCGACCCGCCATTTGTGGAACACTCGTTTGGAAATATATGCAGAATTGCAATGACAATCCCATTTTTGGATATCGAGGAGGGGTGCTATGGCATAGTGAAACAGGTGAGAGACCAAGTGAAGAGAGTGGACAAAAACTACATTGGAAAATTGCAGGAAGGCAGTGAGTACTGTTCATCAAACAGAACTCTGAGAATTTCTTTGAGGGAGAGCTGGTGACACTGAGCTTCACCAGCCTATGTAGGTTTCCGCTGTATGAAGCTGATTTTGGAGGGGGAAACCCTACTTGGGTTGGGTCGCCTGCCCTAACTTTCAATAATTTGGTTGTTTTCATGGACGCCAAGTCTTGTGGTGGGATTGAAGCAAACGTCAACATGAAGGAAAAAGACTTGGCTAAAATTGAAGGCGATGGTGAGTTCCTTGCGTTTGTTTCTCCATATGTGTTGAAGTGAAGAATGTGTTGGGTATTTCGAAGGAAAAAAAGAAGTAAATGAAATGGATGGGGTACATTCTGTTTAGAGTAATGCTGGAAAGATTATCAATTTAAATTATATTTTATAAGTTATATGACATAATTATTAATAATTGTATTATTATTTAAATGTTGATTATTACTTATCAATCCAATGATTGCACATTTTGTTTAACTCAATTTTTGGAGGTTTTTTTATTTGATTTAGTTCGGTCTTTCAAATTTTTTTGCCCACCCCTAATAAATATAATAAAAACCTACAAGATATAATATCCACATTTTGGTTATTTTTCTAAATTTCCCCTACTTGCTTTCTTTTCTTTCGGGTTTTCCATTCAGTCTCACTGCCATAAAAAACCCTCGCTGCCCTGAAAACTCTGCGCTTCATCTTTTCTCTCGCTCTCAGCACCCGCAAAACCCCTCAAACCAACAAATTCAATTCTACAATCTCTCACACGTAATCTAAACCCTCAATCCAAAAACTCGATTTCCAATACCAAGCGGCTAGGATTTTTGGTATTGGAATTCCGGCGAACTGTTTCCGGCCGGACGCAAGCGAAATGGACCACGCCGTTATTACCAATCTTCTTGATTTTGTCCATTAGGGTTGAAGCTCAAATTTAAGGTTTGAAGTGGACTCCAAGGTTTCAAAATTAGGGAGGGTTTTTGTGTAATTTCAATATCAGTGACGCTTTTTTTTTTTAACAAGGCTTCAATTCGATCAGGGTTTCATTCATTTTCAATTTCATTTTATGATTTTAGTTTTAGTTTTAGATTAAATCTCATTATTTTGATTATAATCCAATGAATTTTTGTAAAGTAGGTTATCTGTTGGAGAGCTCGACTTCTCTCTCTGCGATTCTACTGGTGTCTCCCTGACAAAGTCGACAAGAAATTCTTGACAGCTTCCTATTCGCTGCAAAAGGTCCTTCATATTCTCCTCCAATTTCTTCATCCTAAACCCTAATTTCTCATTTTTTATTTTGTACAGGCGTGAGTACGATGCGTATTTCTACAAGGTCTTCAAGGCGTACACGCAGCTATGGAAATTTCAGCAAGAAAATCGCCAGAAACTCCTCCCCTGTTCTTTCATTGATATCCCCGCTCTGTCTTTCTCAATCTTGAGGTATCTGCCGTTGGATTTTGTTTTCTGTCTGAAATATTTAATTTTTTATTTGAGTTGATTGGGATTTATTCGATTCAACTGGGGTGGGTTTTTCAGTTGTTTGGATTTTTTTTATTAATTTAGATTTCTGGGTTTTATTTATTTTTATTTCTGGGCATGCATCAAGCTTCTGCCTTTTTATTTTGATGAAATCATGTTCAGAACTTTATATACATTGATTTTCAAGGGGATTAAATTACGCAAATTGCCCAAATATACATATATTGTTTGAGAAGGCAATTAAAAATTCAAGAATATGACGGAAAACAGATTGTATATGTTTTTTTTTTATAAGAAAGTATATTACCATCATGTCATTCGCTGTACTTTCGAGAATTTGATTGCAGGTTCCTGAGGTTAGCAATTGTAATTAAGAGAACGAAAAGCTTGGACTGTCAAATAGCTAACTATTCAAACAAATATACAATCCTATGTTGGGTTACAATAATAGTGTAATATTTGCAAGCAAATTCCGCTGTACATTCTAATAAGAGATCAAATTTCTCAGTTGTGTCAACATAAAATTTACACATTCTTAGACACAGGCTCGGCTTCGTGACGAGATATCATTGAAGCGTGCATTGTTTTTTTTTTTTCCATCCAAAAAACCACTTTCGTTTGTTTTTGCATTCCTATTCAGAAAGATTGAATTAAGTTCGTATAGGCATTTTGTTTTATGAATTGTCTTATTTAAGAATTGATTGACCTTTTGTGGCAGAAAAGGAAGGAAGGAGGAAGAAGAAGATGGTGGCAGAAAGGCTAGCCGATATTCACCTCTCTCAGACCCTGCGTAAAGCGGGAGCCTTGTGCACTGGGTACGACCTTTTTTATGAAACGCAGGAAGGGGTAAACGCGAAGCTTAACCTTTGGAGAGAAGTGTTGGAATCCAAAGGTCCTCGCCTAAGCCGATCAAAGACAGAATATATGGAGTGCAAGTTCAGTGCAAACGGAGGCCAAAATGAGTTAGGGATGAGGATCGGAGATCAGGAAATACCAAAGAGCGACCGTTTTCGCTACCTAGGATCTATCTTGCAAAAGAACGGAGAATTTGATGGAGATCTCACCCATAGAATACAAGCTGGATGGATGAAGTGGAAGAGTGCATCCGACGTGTTGTGTGACTGTCGTAGGCCACTGAAGCTCAAGGGAAAATTGTATAGGACGGCAATAAGGCCGACAATGCTGTATGGCATAGAATGTTGGGCGGTGAAGCATCAACACGTAGGTGTAGTGGAGATGAGGATGCTTCGTTGGATGTGTGGGCACACGAGAAAGGATAAGATTAGGAATGAGGATATCCGGGGTAAAGTAGGAGTAGCCGAAATTGAAGGAAAGAGGAGAGAAAATCGGTTACGGTGGTTTGGACATGTGCAAAGAAGGCCTACTGACGTTCCGGTTCGAAGATGTGACCACGGGACAGAGGTTCAGGGCCGAAGGGGTAGAGGAAGACCTAGGAAAACTTTGGAAGAGACCCTAAGAAAAGACTTAAAGTACTTGGATCTAACGGAGGACATGACACAAAACCGAGCGCAATGGCGTTCTAGAATTCATATAGCCGACTCCACTTAGTGGGAAAAGGCTTTGTTGTTATTGTTGTGTCTTGCATGTTTGAATTTTTTTTTAAATCTCACTGTTTGTTTTGTTAATTGCAAGTTTACGGTGTTTGAATCTGATATCTGGGAGGATGAGTTGTTATTTTTTTCCTTTATTTATTCATGTTGTTTTATGACTGCTTGCATGTTCTGTATCTGATTTCACCAACTCTTTTTGGCTGTATTTTTTAACAGTAGCTGCCATGTGTTTGTTCCTGTTACAAGTGATTACCATCTGTTTGAGAAAAGGTATTAGCCAATTTTTGGGGCTTTTTAAAACAGTTATGTATATGTTTTGAATATTATTTGGTTTGTCCTGTGTGTAAGAGTGTGTAGGATTTGGAATAACATGGTTGAAAATTGGAATAGCCAATTTGAATCAATGCTTGAAAAATAAATAAGATTGGGGGGAGGTTATTGAATAACACCATATTTCAAAATATTTTAAAATGATTTGAGGTAATGGATGCTTTTAAAATAATAAGACTGCTGAGTTCTTCTTTTGTTGTTTAGTCTGATTCATCTCTTCATTTTCTGTATAAAGCGAGACGATATTTGTGGTTGCATGAGAGCTTAAAATAAGCCTATGAGAGATAGCTTTGTGGTTATGATTGTAATAAAAAAGTTTTCATTTGATTGTGTCTCAATTAACTTATGGCGTGTTTACATATGGGGAAAGGAAATGGCGGAATGAGAGTCATTCCCCATTCATGATTATTCCTCCGTTTACCAATTCAACCGGAATGCACAGTGTTGCCGGACCCATGTAAAATCAAGAGGTCAATTCCTGATATTGACAGAATTGGATTACTTACATGGAGGTAGTATTTGGATACCGGGGAGAAGGCTTCATTCGAAATCAATTTTTTCTTCCCAATGCACCCTTCACCTTCATCACTCTCTTCCATCTTCTCGTTGTCCTCTGCCATCCTCTCCAACAACTTTGTGCTCCTCCACCACCGCCTTTCTGTGCCCCATGCTTTGCGGTGTCGAACTCTTTCGATTTGGGGCTCGGCTGCCGATTCTAATTCCAAAGACTGCAAATTCAGACTCTCGTTAGAATTTATAGGGGATAAGGATTGCAATTGGGCATCCTTAAAAAACTTGAAAGATCAACCATTCAGCAACATATTAGCTTGAATCATTACGCAGAGCCGCATAGGGAAGGTCAGGCCAGAGCATAATCAAATCAACCAAAAATAAAAATTTACGTAGAAGGCTTACCTTGAATCCTTGATGGTGAGGTAGGGAGGGAGAGCAAAGAATGGTCGGAGTCTCAGGGAGGGTAGTCGCGGTCGAGCGTTAGTGAGAGGGTGAGGAAGAGGTGTTTTGTCAGCAGATCAGAGATTGAAGATAACTGATTAGATTGGATTGAAAAGGACTTAAAAAGCCTTTCTCACATAAATTAAAAATAAAATAAATTTTTTATTAAAGATAAAAAAGATTAGCATATAATATAGATTATTTAGAATAGGGTCATTTTAGTAATGACATTAGTTTTCATTCCGATTCATAACAATTAGTAAACAATTTATGTGGATCAATAACAGTCATATTCCGATTCCAGTTAGTTTTAGTAAACAACTTCAACAAAAATCTGATTTTGATTCCACATCATTCCAATTCCCCCTCAATTCATTTCCTCTCAATCTAATTACGGATTAGTAACGAGCCTTTAGTGCCGTTGAGGAATCAACTTTTTACCATTGCTTTAAGTATGCTATACTGGAAAACAAAACTTAGTTCTTCGTCGCTTTATAACATAAGTTTATAAACATATATATACATGTAATCACTTGATTCACCTACATTATGAGGTATTTGCTATAGAGCTGACACAATCGAACAATACTTAAGAATGTCTAAAGCCGAAGAATTTATATTTTGTTGTTACAGTAAGATTAGTGATTCGATGGGGTTGTGTTTAATTTTTTTTGGAGTTTAAATTAAGAGAACTTTAACGAAAAACATCCGGTACTGTTCACTTTAATGAAAAACAATATTTTTACACTAAAAAGTCAATTCTGGTACTATTCACTTTACCCTTTATTTTGTCTTTATCATTAAAACTCAAAGTTTTCAAACTCTTTTCATTAGTTTTCCTTTAAATTAAAGGGTTGAGCTTGATAGGTTTACTTTTCTCCTTTTTGTCTTTTCTTTGCTGCATTTTGTGCAAAGTTATGAGCTTTCAAACGGGTTCTTCAATTTTATTTATTTATTAATTATTTTTTTTAGAGTTTTCTTGGGTAAAGTTTGGTTTTTTATGGTGATCCTCATATCGGTATTGATATGAGTTTTAGATGCTTTTCTTTGATTTTCTCTAATTTTTTATTTTATATATATATATATATATATATATATTTGCTATTTAGTGTGAGAAAATGACTTTAAAATTGGATTTTCCGATTTCTGGACAAAGGAAGGTAAGAAGAGAACACCAATGGCAGTGATGATGGAGAATCTGTTCTTTGCAGTGGAAACGACTGTCCATGGGCAGCATTCAGCCCAATTTATAAGAGCAGGGGTCAAAATGCAAAATGAATGACATGGGGATTTGTTTAATTTTATCAAGTTTTGTACTGAGGTAAAACTCCCTCCCCATTTTACATAGTTTTAAATGCTGAGATGGGGATATGTGTAAATAGGACTGTAAGTATGGAGAAATTTTTTATTGTGACGGGAATACGGGTGATACACCCGTGTTTTTATGTAAGTGGTGGAAAATTTTATTTTTTAAGTTACTAACTTTTTAGCACATATATTCCACCATTTATATAGTGACACATGGTGTACCACCTCATATGCCGGTCATATTGAAAAATCTCTCATAAGTATGGTTGTATATATGTAATAACATAATTGTAAACATTGTTCTAATTATGTGTAACTAGAGATGAAACCCGCACCATCACGCAGGCTTTTTGGCTCGTGGAGTTATGCATTCATGTTTTTACTTACCGGCCGGATGTAAGAATATAAAAATATGGGTGTCATTCTCATTCATAAATAACAAGATAACTAAACATAAGAGTTTCAGTTCCACACGCCACTCTCAATCACTATACTACAAACACAAATTTCCTACCAAGTTGGATTATTCTTTTTGAATGAGAATATAAATTTAAGGTTCTGTTTGGTAGAACATGCATGTTATGGTTGAGGAACAAAGTTTCTTTTTCAGCGATACGACGGGATTTTGTTGGTTACGAACAATTAATTTCCTTAACCATTCGGCTTACGAGCCGAAGTTCAAGGAAACTGGGGGGCAATGTTTGGACCCAAAATTACACCATCGGCCTGTGCAATCGAGGCCGTTGAGTGAACATAGTTCCCAACTGTTGGATCAAGAAATAAAGGTCATTATTAAAAGATAATGATTTTTATCATAATTATCTTTTAATAATGATTTATTATGAAAGATGAGATATATATATCTGGAAGTATGATGGCACAACTGGCGTGTGAATGTGTGGATGTGATTGGATTTAAGCGACAGCCATCAAGATGCATGCATGGATGAGTTTAAATCATAGGAAACCTAGGTAGACTAGGCTTTTTGTTTTACTTGGTGATAGATGTGGCAGACATGCCGTGGGAAAAAGCTATCATATATATATATATATATTTGGTGGTTGCCGTACGTTTTGGCAGTCTGCATGCCATGGGAAAGGTGCAATATATATAAAATTGGTGGTTGTTTAGGTGAAGGTTATCCAAGTCACGTCAGATACATGGGAATTTGAAATAGGACTCTACTCGAGAATCAGGCCGTGCCAAGCAAGTATATCAGTCCTATAAATATAGATGCAATGTCAATGGAAGAAGAACCACCAATTCAACACACAAAACTACCCTGCGCAAACCCTCTCAACAACTTTGAGATTTTTTTATTTTCTTTTTCGCCAACACATCTTCAGTTTGGATAAACAGCACTGTGAAGGCAACCGGCGAACATCTTCAGTTTGGATAAACAATACTGTTGCTGTAGAATCAGACGACCGCGGAGCACCTTCAGTTTGGATAAACAGCACTGCGTCGAGGCCGACTGGCTATCTATCCAAGTCTCGGTCGAGAAGGATTTTCGAATCCTTATTGGTAGAGGTCATCTCGTTAGCCTTTTCGGCGAAGTGAGGTGTTACAAGTTATTACATTCGGCACATTGAAAACCGAATTTGATATTGAACTTCGCAGAACTAGCGGCCTTGTCTTACGGCTCTAGAACCCGAAGGTTGAGAGTGTTCCTTCCTCGACCGCAGTCACGAGATTCAGAAGTCAGCAGCGTACCCAACGCAACATCAACCAATTTTACTCCTCGGCTGAGCTCGGCCGACGAGTTGGCACGCCCCGCACACAACCGAAGGACGTAGTTAGCTCATAGATTACTCGGCCTGCGTGCCACGTAGGCTTGATAGTTTTTAGGGTCAACAGGTTCTCACCTTGATTATTATTCAATTGTGATTCCCTGCCGTAGGCAGAGAAATGCTAATGAGACTCTTTTAAAATGGAACTCTTTATAAATTCTTTGTCACTTTACATTTTAAGGTTAATTATCAGGCTAACGTTATAAAGTATTATGTCAAAAACATGAGGTAATAGAAAGTCCCTCATTTAAGAGAGTAACACCATCACCAGCTCTCTTTTTTGGATCAATTAGCTCCCCATGGATATATTCCGTTACCCTACTTCTATGAATCCAACGGCACAAAAACCACCACTCAAATATCAAACATCCTCAAGACTTCTTTGTCCAAAATCTTAGCCTAATGTTAACCTTTCGCCGGCCGAGTGAAACACATTCTCTTTGTTCATTGCAACGATCAAGGCATCCCATTCTTCGAAGCTAAAGACAAACCCCAACTCCTCTCTGAAGTGATCGCCAACCCTTCGATCTCTGATCTCAACAAATTGTTGCCCTACAGGCTAGATGAAGTTACTGAAATACCCCTTGGTGTTCAACTCAATTTGTGTTTGATTGTGAAGGATTTGCATTGGCTTATGTGTTTCACATAGGATTGCAGATGGGTTAATAACATCTTTTACATTTGTGAACAAATGGGCAGCTCTAGCGAATTGTGATGCAAGGGAAGAGCATTTTTGTGGGTCCGGATTTTTCTGCAGCACCTATTTTGCCACCGAGAAATATAGGTTATTCAATTGTGATGTCATACAGAAATGCTAATGAAACTCTTTTAAAATAGAACCCTTTATATATTTTTGTCACTTTACATTGTAAGGTTAATTATCAAGTTAACGTTATAAAATATTGTGCTAAAATTTTAAATTAAATTTGTAAATTAAATTTGTAAACTAAATAATATGTCGGTTGATGATTTGATTATTAAGTGCTATTAACGTGATTATTTTCTATCAGGGCCGGTCTAGAGATTTTTGAGGCTCGGGGCGACGCTAAAAAATATGCCTTAACTTCACATAAGAAAATTATTTATTTTCACATAAAAGACATCGATAAAATTATACTTAGAAAAACATTTCAAACTCAATAATTTTGAAACACAGAAAGACTAATTTATTTTGTATCAAGAGAAGGAAACCAAAAAACTCCTGGCTTACAAGTAGATAAATGAGTTTTGTTTTCCATCTGAACTTTTAAAGTGTTTTGATATAAATCATGAGATGTTTTTTCTTATTTACTAACCTTGTCAATATGGGACTAAAAACATAATATGTTTTCGAGTCTTTAATTGATATGTATAAGTAATGAATGAGCACTAAATTAAACCTTATGATGACACGTCATATGATTTGTAAATTTGCTCTAAAAATTTGGTCTGCGTATTATTGTTTGTTGAATATTAGACTTGAATTGGAACGAATATTTAAAAATAACAACCCATATAGCTACTAGCTAGAAACTAAAAATAAATTAACAACCAAATAAAAATTTGTTAAAATTGAAAAGAATAAACACGCACATATCATTTCAAACTTAGGATCTCTCGTTAATTTTAAACAACAAAAATCATTGCTTTTAATTAAACTTCTTGAGTATTTAACCAAATTTTATAAATTTATACTCTTATGGAAAAAAAAATTGTAAAAATTGGAAAGTAAATAAGCACATGTGGTGTCTTGAAGCAAAGACCTTCTCATTAATTTCAAATTACAAAACCACCACTTCTAGTTAAATTCCTTTGTCATTAAACCAACTTGTTTAATTTTATACTCTTATAAAAACATATATAAATATACCACCCGAATAATTTTGGTGCCCCCAATTTTTTTGGGCCATGGACGGTCGTCCTGCCTGCACTGGGCCTAGGCCGGCCCTGTTTTCTATGGGTGCTACTAAGCCCACCCCAACGTCTTATTTTCCCACCCACTTTGAAATGATAATTTGATTGATAGTTTTATCCTTGTGGAATATGACCTTCAAAGACTTAAAAGATCATCCAATCATGTCCTGCCACATCATTAGTTATATTGCCAAAAACCTAAAATACATAAATGAGTAAAAAAAAACAAGGAAAAAAACCTAAAAACCAATCAAATTGTGGGGCTGAAAATGGAGGAGCAATTTCTGGCTTTAGCAAAGAAGACGTAATGTTGTGCAGGGTAAAGGCCCCGCTTGCAAGTGCCGAGGAGAAGCAGGTATGGGCGTTCAAAAGCTTTCACTGTTGAGTTTGCTACAATATTAATATTCCTTTGTCACCAGCAAGAGCTTCCTCTGATGGATCTTTCCATTCATCAACTACCCAAGTGTAATGGCGGTCGAGCAAAAGGCGTTTGGAAGGGAAAATTCACAACGTTGTAAGCTTGTAACGGAGAGTGAACTCCATTATCTACCTCTACCACCCTCCTGTTTAATGATAATTTTTTTAAGGGATACTTTGGATGCAGTCCCTAATCCTTAACATTTTTTTACTAAAACCTTAATGATATTCAAAGTTTGATCAAAGTCCCTTGACTTTGTACACCTCATTATATTACAATTAATATTTGTATTTTTATTGTTTTGACATTAATTGTTTGATATTTTATGAGATTTATAATCCTATAAATTTAAAATCCCTCATTATAATACTATTAGAAACGGTTACAATAAAAAAATTCAAACATTTTGATTGAATAAATGGATAAAAACTATGTAAAAATAAGAAATAATAAATGGCAAAAGAATGTATCCATAGTGTTAAAAAAATTGGTACATTTCACATATAACAAAGTGGTATATTAATAAAGAAGAATGGGTACATTATAAATAAATTAGGGTACAGATAAAAGATTAAAAAATTATGAGTACAAATGAATTTTTAAAAAATATAGGTGCTAAAAGAAATTAATACATGTGTACAAAATAAAACTAAAAAGAAAATACTACAAATTTAAAAAAATGTTGCAAATTAAAAGTGGGTACAAACTAAAAATATAAATATATGATACAAAGTTTAGGCATAAAACATAAATATACCATATGTAATTTTTCTATCATTAATTAAATATACAATGTCACGTGACGGTATACACATGGGTACAAAACACAAATAAAACTTTAAAAAATATGGGCACAAAAAGAACTAATATATGGGTACAAATTAAAAATTAAAAAAAAATTGGTACAAATTAAAAATAGGTACAAACTAAAAATAAAAATATATGATAAAACATTTAGCCATAAATATAAATATACTAATTGTAACATTTTTAACACTAAGGGAATATATTTAAAATACAAATATTTTGTTATTCAAATAATTAATGATGTTATTAATATCTAAGGACCTTGATCAAAAATTGAAAATAAATAGGATTTTAATCAATGGAGTAGCAAAAAGAAGGATGTGAACCTAATTTCTTTTTTTTTTTCTAATTATCATAATTCTTTTAAAGCAATGGAAAATTGAAGAATAAATATATATGTCACATCCCGGCCCGGGGCAGATCATTTCTCAGGCCCGCTCCACCACCGTAGCACGA